GGGACACTCGTCGTTGCCTCTTCGTCGTCTCTGCCTATTCTCCCACTGACTGCAGCTCAGATGATGTAAAAGATGAGTTTTACAGAAAGCTCTCCGACCTTCTCCGAAAAGCTAGGCGCTCGGATGTAGTAATAGTGGCCGGTGACTTTAATGCTCAAGTAGGTAAACTAAGCGATAGGGAAAGACACCTAGGTGGATCTTATGGTGTCGTGGCTCAAAGAACAGATAATGGCGACCACCTGCTCCTTGCAAATACTAACTTTAAGCATAAGGAAAAACATCTTTTAACATGGCGACCCCCTAATTCGTCCCAACGTTGGACCCAAATAGATCACATCGCTATCAGCCACCGATGGAGGGGCTCGATAGAAGACTGTCGCTCATTCTGGAGCACATGCCTAGATTCAGATCATGCTCTAGTGCGAGCGCGTATTTGCTTGCGTCTTACTGGACGTAGGAAAGACGCTGCAAGGAAACCTCTTAGGGCCTACTTAATGATAGTCAAGCTAAGAGTATATTTCAGGAACAACTAGGAAAACAGTTAGGCAGCCATGTATGTGATGCCCACCCCGATGCAGCATGGAATGATATCCGAAAAGCTGTGGAAACAGCAGTGATATCTGCTAGTAAGGTAAACCAGAAGGTTAGGGAGCAACACTGGATCTCAGCAGCATCTATCGCACTGATAGATGCTCGGAAACTCATTCCACCTGGCTCTGAACATAATGAAGAGCGGAGTCAGCTTAAGCGCAAGCTGACAAGAAGTCTACGCAATGATCGCGAACAGTGGTGGGTAGCGAAAGCAAGAGAGATGGAAAAGGCAGCGGCAATAGGTAATAGCAGACAATTGTTCAGACTCGTTAAGGAAACCGGAATTAGGAAACCGACCGTTAGCGAAACAATCTCAGAGAAAGATGGACATATTATTCATTCTCAATCCAGGAGATTGGATCGATGGGCAGAACACTTTAGGGATCAGTTCAACTGGCCTTCAGCCACACTTCGGTTTCCCACGATCTCCAGTCAACCTGAATGGCAAGTTAATGTAGGTCCTCCGACTCTTTACGAAGTTGAAAAAGCCATAGGAAATCTGAAACGAGGGAGAGCAGCAGGCCCTGACAGGTTTACTCCTGAGATTTTTAAGGATGGTGGTCCAGTATTAGCAATGAGATTAACCGAGGTCTTAGGTAGAATTTGGGAACTGGACGTAATCCCATCTGACTGGTCTCAATCACTGATTGTGCCAGTTTATAAGAAAGGACAAAAGTCCTCTTGTGACAATCACAGAGGAATCAGTTTGACTAATATAGTGTCTAAAATATTAGCTTCAATAATACTTCGACGCCTAACTAAAGCTCGTGAAGAGCAGACTAGAGAAAACCAGGCTGGTTTTCGACCTGGACGTGGTTGTATAGATCAGATATTCACACTACGTCAGGTTCTAGAACACAGACACACATTCAGACGCCCCACAATGGTAGTATTTCTCGACCTTAAGGCGGCATTCGACTCTGTTGATCGTGAGGTTCTATGGCAGTGTTTGTCACTGAAAGGAGTACCAAAGAAGTACATTAACCTTATAAAGGCTCTCTACTCGAACACAACTGGTAGAGTGAGAGCTTATGGCGAACTGTCATCAGAATTGATTACCTCAAGTGGTGTTCGTCAGGGCTGTCCACTCTCCCCATTCTTGTTCAACTTTGTTGTTGACGTACTTTTAGAGATAACACTCTCCTCATCTAAATTTCCAGGGGTTGAACTTCTACCGGGAGGTTCACTTGTTGACTTAGAATATGCTGATGACATAGTTTTATTTGGTGAAGACGCTGACAAAATGCAGAGTCTTCTGACCACTCTAAGCAACAATGCAAGCATGTTCGGGATGCGATTCTCTCCCTCGAAATGCAAAATGTTGCTTCAGGATTGGGTTACATCGACACCCGAACTAATGATAGGGAGTGAAGTAGTTGAGTGTGTCGACCGCTTCACTTATCTTGGAAGTCTCATCAGCCCTTGTGGTCTGGTGTGTGACGAAATCTCAGCACGGATACAGAAGGCTCGACTAGCTTTTGCCAACTTGCGTCATTTATGGCGTAGGCGAGATATCCGTCTATCAACCAAAGGACGGGTTTACTGCGCAGCAGTTCGTTCCGTCCTACTTTATGGCAGTGAAACATGGCCGGTAAGAGTAGAGGATATCCGTAGGTTACTAGTATTTGATCATAGGTGTCTTCGAAATATTGCTCGTATATCATGGGACCATCGAGTAAGTAATCCAGTTGTTAGGAAACGGGTACTAGGTAAGGATGGCAAATCAATTGATGACGTAGTGAAACTTCATCAGTTGAGATGGCTGGGACACGTGTTACGTATGCCCAACGACCGACTGCCTCGACGTGCGATGTTCAGTGGTATAGGAGTAGGTTGGAAGAAAGCTAGGGGCGGCCAGACCAAAACATGGCACAAGTCCATGAAGTCACTGACAAGTGACTGAGTCACATTGGTAGGTGTAGACTACCTGGTTGGGGACCGCGAGATGATAGCAACCGATGGTTAGAGACCCTGAATGACATGGCTCAAAATCGTTTGCAATGGCGCAGGTGCATACACTCTTTGTGTTCTCCAAATTTTGATCTCCTTATTCCTCTTTGTCTCTTTTTTTTCTCTTCTCAAATTTATTTCACCTTATTATACTCTTTAATTAACATCTCCAAACACTAATCTTCCCGATTACTGCTTATACTCTTATTGCCTCTACCACTACGGGATTTGAATCGACCACTGCATCTCTGTGCTAATGTGATGTGGCAACTCGAACTGATGTACGTACGTATGAAGTTCTACGTTGTTACTGACTGACTTACCTAAAACAATAGTTAACTTTATCCATAATTTGGTTTCGTTAAATTTCACCTATGTATATTTATTTTTCTATCCATTGCCAACGAACACCATTTTTATCCGTTGTTACAAACCAGGTGGAAAAACGGTCATCAAACAAATTCGAGGTCAAGCATTTGACTGAGAAACAGTACCCCACGATCATAGTGTTGAGTAGCCTTTTACTGGTGTTTCCTCAAAAATTCATCCCTACCATCATTTTTTTACTTTCAATACAGACTTTGAGTCCCTGTTGAATGCTGTTTTCACACGATTTAACACTAATATGATCAGTAACGCTGCAAGCGCACTGTATCTGCGTTTTACCCCTGAGTATTAGGGTACGGTATTTTGTAGTGAATATAGATATGTTAATTTCAAGTGCTTAAATTACTGTCATAGCTCTCTATGAGAAGACTACTACACATAACCAATCTTACATCGGTGACTGAAGCATATGTAATGGCTTTGATCATATATTTAGATCACATGGAGTAGTTATATAAATCTTAACCAGCCCGCCTGGTGGTTTCGCAGTCAGCGCAGTGCAAAATGACTAGGATGGATATGGGCATGATCTATCACATAACCTACAAGCCTGTTAACACAGACAGGACCCTAATAAGATTTAGTACTTGATAACACCTAAGAAGACATTCATTTAGGGAAAACTCGGAAGTGCTTCCACAATAATTTACTTAAAGTTTATATAGTTCGAATCAGTAAACCATGAAATTTATCACTGCAGAAAATAGTTAAGACACATTTTACCGAGTCATTTACAAGAATAAATGACATTTGCTCCATTTCCGTATGTACTGAGGAAGGTCATTTCAGATGCAGTTTTTCGATCCTCCCATCATATATTGACTATTGTTTTTGCTAGTAAAATCAAAACTCAGCCTCAAACTTGTTCTTTAAAGGTACGAAACGAGGGTTATATGTTGGCCGTTTTCTTCATAAGCTTATCGTGGATTTCAGGCAGTATAACGAAATGTGCTGAGTTAAATAAGTCTAGGACTTTGGCAAGACACAATCAAGAACTTAGATTTGAGGTACGCAGCATGAAATTGTATTGTATTATTATGACAGGATAAAACAACATAAAACATCCAACTATGCAACCGCAACCAGCGTATCCCATTGCCTTCTAAAATTTAAATACCGTCGGGAGTTATCTAGCAACTGTTACCACAACTCGTGATATACGGAGCAAAATGAATGGACTCGAAAGAACTCCACAACATGGGGACAAATAAAACATTCCAAGATTATGTGAAAATTTCCTCCGTCGAACTGACCGAAAATGCGCCTCAACGTTATCATTGCAAGGTTTACTCGGAAGACATTTGTGTCACAGTTAGCGTAAGACTTCAAATAGTAGGGTACCAGCACTCCTAAATCATTTTCAACTTCAGATACTTCTAGAGAAGAGTCCCCTAAGTTGTAACTATAGTCCGCAACATGTCTGAGATGGACTACTTTACACTTTGAAGTATTAAAGGTAAGTCCGTCATCATCTGCTCAACTTTGAAGTCGATTCAGATCCTCCTGAACTGCCAGTTTATCCTCTTGGTTGCGTATCACTCTCGCCAAAGTCTCACATCATCAGCAAAAAGTAATAAGTCAGACGATACCTGCTGTGGAAGATCGTTCGCATAAATCAAGGAAGGAGAGGCTCTTGAACGTGACAGTGGGGGACCACACTATAACATTCCATAGCCTGAGAGAAGGTGAAGTTAACCCTAACCTCAAAATGTCGATTTTTCAGATATGAAGTGAATCAATCAATTAAAGATGGTTCGACACCTAATCGATTGAGCTTATTGGTAAGATAAATATGGTTGACCCTATCAAAAGTTCTTGAGAAGTCAGATTGAAGTCCCCAAGAATCAGGATATGAGTGAATCCGAGACGATTGGAGCAGGATAATCCTGGTATCATGTGGTCTATCCAGAAGTATGTGCATTCCAGTTGGTAGCCGGGGTCTAAATGAGAACACCCGCAAAATGCACTCGAATTCACGGTAATATTCGAGCAATGTACCTGTTCTAAATCTCAGTTATGTAAATGGATGAATCTTACTTCGAAACCTTTTACCTTGTGTTTTATTGAATAGCAGCAAATGTCTATCATTTAAGCGGCACATAGTTATTGTCGTGGTTGATTGTTCGAAAGGCGTGCCCAATTGTTTGATTACCATCAGAGTGTGGGCTGACACACAATGGCAGACACTAGACCAGCTGAAAAAGATGAACAGCAGAAACAAAACACCCCACGCAAGGTGATGGAAGAGCGTGTCAAAGGCGTGGTTAAGTGGTTCAATGTGAAGGCTGGATATGGCTTCATCAACCGTCAGGACACATCCACGGACATATTTGTGCACCAATCGGCGATTTCACGTAACAATCCAGAAAAGCTTCAGCGTTCACTCCAGGAGGGGGAAGAGGTGGAGTTTTATGTTGTTGAGGGGGACAAGGGCGACGAAGCATCCGAAGTGACAGGCCCTGGGGGTGAACCTGTTAAGGTAAACTGAGTTGAGTGTCTATTCTCTTTTAGGGCAGTGTGTACGCAGCTTTGCGTGGACGTGGACGCAGCCCGCGAGTGTTTAACATGCGTGGGAGAGGTCGTGGGATGGGACCTGGGGGATTCTCTAGCAATCAAGAATTTGTGCCTTACTACGGTCCTCGGGGTCGAGGCCGCGGCCGTGGTGGCTCAGAAATGGTAAGTTGGCGAAGCTTAGAATCTGGTTTGCAGTAAGTTCATGTGGGTGCCAGTCGTTAATTTACAAACTCAACCCCATGATGTTCACACTCACGATTTCTGCCCATTTTATTCATGCCAAATCAAGATCATCAGCCCGCATTCCATACTCAGGTCGACATTGTGTCTTCGTCTCAACGATATCGACCGTTAATGGTAATGTACTGCAGGACGTACATGCAATCCCGTTAAGTAAGCGTGATTTCTGCCTCAGCGTGAACCTTCAGTTCAGGCTCATGCGCTTAGATTTCGTTCCCATAGTGCTAAAGTACAGGCCCCGGCACCAGTCATTTAAGGACAAACTTAACCCTTAATATAGATTGCCAGAGTATGATTTGGAATCAGCTACAGCATTGAGATTTCTGTACTTTCACAGCGGATTGCTTTTCAATATGTCGATTCTCTTTCCAATTATTGATTTAACTTTCTTTTCGGCTTCAGTATGGAGGTGGTTACGAATTTATGGATCGTGGTGGGAGAGGCCGCGGGTTCCGTGGACGTGGAAGGCCTCGTGGTCGTGGGTTTAGGGGATCCGGTGGGTTCGAATCTCGGGTCGCGGTGGTCCTCGTGGAGGAAGAGATAATTATCATAACGAGGATGGTAAGTTGTCAATCTGTTTCGGTCTGTTTGTCCTATCGATATTGTTTATGTGGTTTCGGCCACTTCGTTCTCTTGCCACTAAGGTTTGGTGCACGGCAATGGTGTGCTTTCGTTTCTGGTAATGATAACGAGTATTTTCTAGGCAATGCTACTTGTGATTTTGTGCTAATGCTTCATCCCTGATCATGTTTCTCACTCATTTTAGGCTCACCGGATATGCGAGACGCTTAAAATCCTCTGGTCAAATACTGAGAAATGTCATTTTAGAAATCTATGTATTCTGTCAGCATTCATATATGCATGTCTACGTTTCAACTCAATTGTTTAATCATCCAACTTGCAGCACATTGGATTGTCACTTGTCTTTATGGTATTTCGGATGTACACCAACTTTTTCCCTTCCTCAGTTTCGACGTCTAACTGGTCAAACTTGAGTGTCTCCAATTTTTGAATCCAGAGTTCCTGTGGGTATATTCAACATGTTTCATTCGATCTTACAGCCTTAGCTTTCTGCGCTTTTCGATGCATTTCTTGCCTATCAGGGCTTTCCATCTGAACTTGATTACTTTTCTACTGTTTCATATCTACTTACTTCCGTCTGCCAATTGCTTGAAGGTTCAGACCATTTGAGAAAGTCACAGATCTGACTCGTCAGCCATTGGTGATTATACTTTTCTGTAGAATGTGCATTCTTCTGTCATCTTGTGTGGATATCTGGTGCTGTATGGTTTGACTTTTTTCGTAATCAAATATGCATTTTGATACTTGATAAAATTTCTTTAGAGTAATAATTTGCATTCTATCTCTCGTGAAAGGCTTGGGTATGTGTTTTGTGAGCGACAGTTCTATCTCGATCCCTGATATGCGCAAAGTTTAGCTCATCAGTAAGATTGAGTCGTGGTTACAAAATGTCCCTCACCTCTATCTCGTCTCAATTTGGCTTCGATTGCATCGGCTTCAAAAGTAGCGTGTCCACGCCGAACTAAATAATCAGGGGTTCCACTCTTCGTCCTGGATGTTTCTTTGCAACTTGACAGATGTCCAACGAGATAGCCTGACTGCACTGTTGCCGATGTACCGGAAGTGTCTTCGCGTGGGCTGTCATTTTGTGATGCGCGAAGAACGGCTAGGTCGCGTGAGGCCGGGTGTTCGGCCTAGTGGTATTGACTACCGCATACCGGGCTCGTCTAGTGTTATTTTTAGTGTAGTAGCAACATTTGCAGTCGATGGATCCTAAACTATTATAAACTGACTTACAGTCACGTGTTCATGGTTGTGAAGTCATAGTTTCAATAGTCCTAGGTGGTAAGAAGCCGTTTGTACATGTTGAATTGCATGATATTCCAGCGAAGTATTTGTGCCTCATCTGTTTGCAGACGGTATTTGGTCTGTCGACGCGTGATGTTCAGTGGTATGGGAGTAGGTTGGAAGAAAGCTAGGGGCGGTCAGACCAAAATATGGCAGAAGTCCATGAAGTCACTGACAAGTGGTCTGAGTCATGTCGGTAGGTGTAGACTACCTGGTTGGAGACCACGAGATGATAGCAACCGATGGTTAGAGACCCTGAATGACATGGCTCGAAATCGTTTGCAACGGCGCAGGTGCACACAAACTTTGTGTTCTCCTAAATTTATTTCACTGTATTATACTCTTTAAATAACATCTCCAAACCCTAATGTTTCCGATTACTGCTTATACTCTTACTACCTCTACCACGACGGGATCTGAATCGACCACTGCATCTCTGTGCTAATGTGGAATGGCAACTCGAACTGATGTACGTAAGTATGAAGTTCTACGTTGTTACTGACTGACTGGTATGTGGTCTGAAATGTTAGCTGAGTGTTAATGTACTGGCGGGCTCAATGCTAATGGTGAGGTTCGTCGTTCATGGTAGGTCCTACTGCAGTTTGAGCGACCGCAATTGTCCTTGCACCTTACATATATTTTGTGGCCTTATATATAAACCGGGTAGACAACCGTACTTGCTGGTCGGCCAGAACGTCCCGCCAGCCTTTTGCTGGTAAATTTGTTTATGATACATCTACGCAGGGTGTTTTCTTTTAACTAAACATGGTTGTCATTTTAATACGCTATGCGGCATGTTCACTGAGTGCACTGTACAGAGTTTATGACAATACTACTAGCCATTCCCTTAGGTGAAGACGATTTCCCCGGGATGGAGTACTCAGTGCACTGCGTCCAGCGGGCTTCTGGTGTCACGTTACGTAGCCAGAAGCAGATGGTGTCTCTAAGACAGGAACTTCGGTGGGTAGATGTGTTGTACAGTCAACGTTCGGTTCTAGTGGGTTGACTGCTTCGAAGTAGCAACTCTAAAGCGTACCTATTTTATGCATAAATGAAATAATATTGGTATAACATACATATGTAGTGTTTCTGATGTGATAAGGTGTTTTACGTGAAGCGCTAATGTATCGGCCCCTAATGCCACGACGATGTTTTGGTGCTGTTCCGGACTGATGAGTTCAGATAGCCGGCCGTATTTGAGTCTCAAGATACCTGCTAGTAGGTGCTAATTCAACTAGTAAGCAGTATGTATTTACACTACAGTTACCGATTATGAAGTTACGATAGTAGTATACATCAAGCAGACATACAAGCGTTTCAGTATGATTGATAGCCCAAAAGAATCCGGAGAATGATATGGCTGATCCTGATTGTCATACTTGGCATGAACACGAGAAAATAGTTGAAAAGGGAAATTCACACTAAATGTCTTAATTTATAATTAATCTGTAGTGAAATATAAAAGATTAAGAGGTTAGTTGTTATTTTCAAAAGGTATCACCAATATTTTTGGCGAAATGTTTGGAATTAAAATCATATCACAAGAACATCTCCCACACATTTTGAACAAGAAAACAATTCCAGATCATGCTTTCGTTTTCCAGTAGACTGAAATAATTCAAGTGTTTTCAAAAGTAAATCATCAGTTTCAGTTGTTTCCAGAGGAGGTATTGTAGACAGGGCAGTTGTTGAAGCACCAAATGCAGTTGATGTGGTGGGAAACATACGATCGTATTTAAGAATATTCTTATTATTGACTCTTGTCAGAACCTATAAAAAGGAACATCAAAATACTATACATAATTATCAACCAAACTTTGTTTCAGTAAATTGAAAATCTAAGTGGTACAAAGCTGGAGACTATGTGTATGACACTTATTTTCAAGTGTTTTTTCCAACTCTCAATCAGACTAGATGTTTGTTTGTCACTGTCATATCAATGAGTTGCGCTGGAGTTTTCAATCAGCTTTAAATAAGGATATTTGGGTTACTGCTTGTTGAGTAGTCCGTCAGTATCAGTTGTAACGAAATAATTTACGGTAACCACCACCTGTTTGCTAGTGTACTGTAATTGAGAAATCTAAGGCTGGTTTTCTTTGTAAACTTAAGAAAGGCGTCTAAATTAGCACACGAAAACAATGCTTGACTGACAACGTACCTCACAAATGATCAGTGACTATGTGAGTCAGTTTTGACCTGTCGAATGCAATTTCCGGTACTTTATCACATTTAAACTACCAAACTTTTGTTTTGTCGCAGGTTTTATCTTAACTTTTTCAAAACATCGTCACCCATTTAAGCTTCGAGAGTCATTAGGGTTGGAACTGATGACCAAGAAATTAGATCTATGCTATCATTTTACTACTGATTAACATCTTAATAACTAGACTAAATAAACACGAAATACACGAAGCTAGAGGGACTACATATGTAAGAAAAGAGAAATGACAGTGAAACAGCAAAAAGACTCATCAGTTTTACTATACTAGTTAGGGTAGATAAAGCATATTCCACACAAGAAATGCTGAGGCAGTACACTATTCAAGTAAGAAAACCGACAAAACACAAGGGTTTATTATTAGTCTGCAATTGTTCAAATACGACATAACACTATATAAATGGCTTCATCAAGAACTAAATACTTCCCTGTGCTTCTTAAATTTCACCGTAGGAATCTGATTATTAGTTGACAATGACCTGTGTAGGACTATGCTAATTTGATATTTCCGTGGACAACCTTTCTCTGAATGCAGACAACTCTGATTTCAAATCAGTGGATCAAACGATACGAGCATATTCTATGATTGACAGTGGTGGTAATGTTTTCTTAACATCTGGAGTTTCATAGTGGACGAATAAATGTCAGTGACACCGTAGCAATGTATTATTTCATTAAACCTAGCATTAATTGGATCGAGACAACTTAAGTGCTTCTCTCCGTCGCCTTTTACAACACTAACATATAAAGTTGCGCACGGGAATGCTGAACCAGGTTGGCACGCTTTACATCATCACAGGGAAAAGAGATCAACTGGAACGGAAGGATATTGAAAGGAATGAAAACAATATGAACCAAGGATGAAAAGCAGACACAGAGTAAAATGTTCAAACAGACTGTGAGTGTGGTTACGCCACTGCGGTCGACCGAGAGACATCACATAGTTTCCAATTATTGATTTATGCTACTTTGAGGATCTCCTTATAGAAAGCTCACACTTATCAACTAAACTAACAGTGACGTATGACATAGCTAGATTATGGTTCTGTAAGACGTCATATACAAGTACATGAATGATTACTATTAATTAAATTTCCATGTTCATCTAATATGTACGAAATAAGACAATGGATAAATAATTACTTAGAGGTTAAATATTAGTCAACTAATGCACTTTCCCAATCTCCCTATTTTGGAGAAATGGCACAAAACCCAAAAATTTCTCCAGGTCTGGGGAAAATCCCCCAAGTTTCCTAAAAAGAGGGAGATTGGGTTGCCATATTTGAGAACCAATAAAACATAGGATGAGAGCGAAACCAACGTGTGATTTAGGTGCACAAGGAGTTTTCGGAATCTGAGAAATTTCATTTATAAGTACCAAATATTTTGCTGGCTGATTTTAATTCTTACTAAAATATAAGTGCTTTGACTAAAGTTGGAAAACATTGCACAGGAATAAAGTACGAACACTTACATATTGTGCCAACTCTTCACCAACTGTATCTGAAGAGCATTGAATCGGTTGGATACTAGCATTTGGTGATATCGCTAAAGCCAAATCAAAACACAGTGATGTCAAGCTTAGTGTACTACATGTCTGATTAATCGGTTTATTTAGTTTAATATCGTGTTTATTACAATAATCAGATAACAAAGGGATTGCTTGACTTAGATATCGACGTATTTGTGCACGTTCACCAAGAAGATGCGCCAGCGCGTGTCGAGCTAAATGTGCCTGATGCACTGACATGGTGGCATGTTTAGCTGCTTCACCCGCTACAGCACGACTAGCAATACATTTTGTCTGCCATACATCAGCTACAATTTCGGCTGTGTTGGCGGCTTCTTGTAGAACAGATTTCTGATGGGCTAAACCTTCACTTTGACCACAAAGGTATGCATTACTACTGATTAAATCGATTAGCTGTTGAGCCACATTTAAATTACCAGACATAGCAGATACCAATAAGTTTTTTAAGTCGGCGTTAATCTGAAGAGAAATAAAGAATGGTGAACTAAACAATAAGAAATCTTCGTTATAAGTTTATGTACAAAAAAATTTGAAAAACCACGGTTTAGGATAAAGTATTTCCCAATTTTATGGACAATAATAATGAGAACACTACTCAGCTCATAAACACGAGATAGTATCGTAAAGTAGCTTGTGCGAAAAGTATACTGACGCAATCAACAAGGAAACACTACTCCTGATTAGATGGAGGAGCATGTAATTTGTGGTAGATTGGTCTCACACTAGGCATCAAAACCAATGAGGTATACTGAGAAAGTTATTAGCAGATATCTATGATTTCTTTTAGGAGAGACGGGGAATGAATCTAACGAATGATATCCTAACTCCAAATCAGACTGGAATGTGATGAAAATCATCCTAACCTAAAAAACTCACTATCAATCCATGAGGCTAGTTAATAACTACCTGGAAAATGATTGCCGAAACAAGTGATATTCTACTGCAATTAATGTTGGAAACGGGTAATGATGTTGAATTCTAGATTCGTAGATTAAAACGCTGTTTACAGATTCTGAATTTCAATTCAAGTAATGATTAATCATGAAAACAGAAAAGTCAAACTAAAATCAGGTAACATATATCTCCTGACTCTGAGACTACTATTTGAATAAAACCAATTTATATAAACAAAACAATTGGGAATACTTGTAACATTTTTTCTACACGAAAAGATTTGGTTTTTTAAATAAAATACCATTAGCATTGATCAAATGCGTACTATAAAAAGTACAATTTGATCAATTAAGTTTACCTCGAAACTCAATATTATTCTAATTGTACGCGGTAAGTATTCTTATATCTACACATATTCCCACTACAATTGATTGATTATTCGTGGAAACACTACATTAGAACACCTATTGAATAATCAATAGATACGAAAATAAATTTTACAGTCGTTGGTCATAAACTGAAGGTGCTCATTAAATTGTGGTCGCTAGTCTGGACTTCGTTTTGATATTGGGTGATTGGAGGTAATCAATACAAAACTGTGGACCTAGATTTGGTGATAGTTAACACTTGTCAGGAAGGTGTACATGCAATTTTGAGCGGACTAATGCTCCTTGTAAGATTCTTGGACGGCATATTAACTCATACAACAATTCATTCGATCATTTAACTAACAAATCAGATCCACATTATTCGTCTAATCACTCTTATCGTTTGATCTGTAATGTCCGGAATATATTTTGTATCCGACGTGAAATATTGTGTTGTTAAATGAACCTAGTTCCACAACAGGATTTCTGAGAAAGTATACCAAATTAATCGAGGACCAATTTACCTTGGAATTATATGTATTTACAAACTAGGAATTCTTGATTTCAAATAAACTAAGGAAATGGAAATTGCTTACTCTCTGTTGTAATTCTAACGCCTTCTGAAGTGACTCTTTACTGTCATCCGTACCATCAGATGATAGATGTGAATTTTGATTGGTAGATGCTAAATTACGCTGAGCTCTGATTATATCTTCAATATTAAATATAATGGTATGATTACTATCTGTTTGAGCTTCTTTATCTACTTTCATTGTGGGACTACACGAAAGATGAGCTGAGGAATTCGATTTAGCGGGTAGTGTAGGATAAGCATACACAATTGGTTTCAGGGTCTTAGGATGGTATACAAATGGTTTGGATGAAGTGATTGATTGCCAACGAACTTGATCACGGACGACAACTTTATCACATGCTATCCACTCCGCAGGTTTGTTCGCTTTAGATGGAAGGGTACACTGTTCCGTAATCATTTCATTTTTCTTAGAATATTGTTCTGCCTTCCGTTTTGTCACTCGAAAGGGAAATGAAGTTGAGTTAAACTAAAAGGGTTGTATATCTAAAAGTATTGTGAGTTGGACATAATATGTTGAGGTGCAATTTGTAGGATACAACATTGTAGAATACATAGTATTGACCGTAGATATTACAAAACTATTTAGTATGCACAAAAAAGTGTGGCGAGTGAAGCTAAAATACAAGACCTATTTCAATTAAGTCAATTTTACTACACAACTTCCCAAGATTCATAATTCCGGTACTAACCAAACAGTTAATTCTAGTTAGTGAAAATTTGATGTAATCTGATACCTGGAGGGAGTGATGTTTACGAAAAAGAGGACGAAAAACAAATGTCCGGCGCATTAACCGGGTTGGTGGATATGGAGAATCTACCTAGGGGAGTTAGGAAACCCTGATTCCAAACTAATGATGCACTTCAGCTCCAGTGACCTAAAGGAGCAAATGGCGTATGAACATATTGTTAGTCATCGGCTACCATGGGATTGCGTTTCCTAAAGTTGCTCCACTGCCTTGTGGATCAGACTTCTAGGTCAAAGGCCCGGGGTGTGGTCCCCTGAGAAAACCACCTGCGTCGGTTCGGGCACCCGGGCAGTATTACAGCCCTCACAGAAATCAATGATAACTGCTCAGTCAGTCAGTAACAACGTAGAACTTCGTACGTACGTACATCAGGTCGAGGTGCAATACCACATTAGCACAGAGATGCAGTTGTCGATTCAAATCCCGCAGCGGTAAACGTAGTAAGAGTATAAGCAGTAATCGAAAAGATTAGGGTTTGAAGATGTTATTCAAGGAGTATAATCCAGTGAAATGAATTTGCTACTGGCCTCAACGTTATTGTGTGGCGCATATCTATTTGGTGTACTATTTTACCAATGCTTATGTGTTCAAATGAATAAATAAATAACTTTTCAAATGTAAATGTCAACTAGATGTTTAGGTAACTGAATAAGACGCTGAAGGAAATACTTTGTATGGACTTACAGGCTTTCGGTAAGGACGAGGAAACAGCGATGTCTGGAGTCGAAGTACTGGACCTTCTATTTGAGGAGGCACGATAACTGATTGGTCTTATGAATGATATTAGGGAGTTTTTAAACCACTGAATTAAGCAGGTCGTGACCAATCAGAAATGCTAATAATGATTGCCAAGAGTGAAGAGGCTCAATATTTGAAAGAGAGTCCATAAAACAACAGGTGACTGTCCTAGGCATTTTGTGGCGTCCTGTAAAAGCAACTAAAGTCCGACTACATTTCTTGCTAAAGGTAACAACTAACCTTGAACTTGGCTCGGTAATTCACGTTACAATGATCGGTTCATTTAACGTAGTTAAATTAATACATTTAGAACAAATCCCTTGGTCAGTAAACATAGACGCATTTGTTACACAATACAGTATAAATAAAATTTAACTAAGCATTCCAAAAGCAGGGACAGTCGTGACACTGAAAACTTATTGCAATACGATCCATTTGTCTCCAGTCTTCAGTAATAAGGATAGGAGGTCTGTCGACCTATATTAATCCTTGCAGTTTGTAATACTGTGGAGGTCCAATCTCGTTTTGAATATATTAACAGATGGTGCTGATATTACGTGTTCCGGTAGAGAATTCCAGTAATTCACTACTCGGTGCGAGAAACGGAACTCCAAACGTAAACGGTTTGATCTCGGTTTTTGAACTTTCTTCGAATGTCCTCTCAAATGATCGGTTCTAGACGGAAGCAAAAGATAAGACATGTTAATACCAAGGTCATCGTTCAGTATACGATAGGCCAATATTAGATCACCCCTTATTCTACGGTAAGATAACGGAAATAAGTTAAGGTGTCTCAGTCTGTCTTCATAAGATAGGCCAGATAGACCTTGTACCATCTTAGTAGCTCGTCGTTGGACTCTTTCTAGCATATCTGCTTCATATTTGAAACAAGGACACGCTGCTTGAATCCCGTATTCTAAATGTGGTCGCACATAAATCGGGTATAGTAATCTAAACATTTCATCATCTAAATACTGGAAAGACCTACGAATTGACCATAATACCCTATAGCCTTTTGCAGCAGCAGCCTTACAGTGACTAGTCGTTTTGAGATCATTGCTTAATATGACTCCTAAATCTTTATAGTTTCTTACTTTGGGTAGCACGAATCCACGTAGTGTATAGTCATACGATTCATCAGAGTTATTTAACTGCATCACTACACTCTTATTAGGATTTACTTCTAGTGACCACCTGTCTAACCATGCCACCAATGAGCTAAGATCGTCCTGTAATACTATCCTATCCGACATGCTATGTATGGGTCTCCAAATCTTTATGTCATCAGCGAAGAGTAGAACGGATGATTTTGCTACAGTTGGCAATTCATTTACATAAAGTAAAAAGAGAAGAGGACCCAGGATTGTACCTTGGGGAACCCCACTTTTTACAGGTACCCACGAGGAGAGAGCCCCATTAACCCTTACCCTTTGTCTCCTGTCATGGAGAAAGTTACTTATCCAATCGACGACTGTATAATGGATTCCAAAACGTTTCAGTTTGAATTTAAGACCAGAGTGGGAAACCTTATCAAAGGCTTTACTTAGATCTATGAAAATCACATCCACAGGAGCATTCCGATCCTTTGCCGCAGCCCAATCTTCTCGTGCAATGAGAAGATTTGTCAAGCAAGATAGGCCTTTCCGAAAACCATGTTGTTCCCTGGAGAAAAGATTTTGCCCTTCAACATAGTTTATAACAGCTATCCGAATGATTTTCTCCATCAGTTTTACAACTGCACTAGTTAAGCTAACGGGTCTATAGTTACTAACTAAATCCCTGACCCCAGCCTTATACACCGGACTTATTATGGCGTCTTTCCAGTCTCTAGGAAGTCTGGACTGTCTCAGAGACATGTCGAATAGTATCGCTAATGGTTCAGCAATTTCATCTGATATGGCTTTCATAATCCTAGGATGAATATCGTCAGGACCACTGGACTTATCAGGTTTGAGATGCTGAAGTAGCCTTAAAACAGTATCTTTCTCAATGACTACAGGATCCATCAGCGAGCCGTCACGGTCGCGACGAATCATTGGTCGTTCCTCATTACCGATAGAAAACACTTTACTAAAGTATTCCGATAAAGCTTCAGCTTTTTCGGCATCATTCTCTGCTAAGATTAACGGATTTTCTCGTATCAAAAGTGATGGAATTCCATCACTTCTCTTAGTTCGCCTTTTTATATACGAGAATAACCGTTTCGGACTATATCTAGAATCCCTAACCAATTGTTTTTCGTATGATAGTCTAGTCTTACTTATTAACGCTTTACAGGCATTCCTTATCTTACAGTAACTGGATCTGTATTGTTCTAAGCCAGTAGAGATGAACATATTCCAGTGATTCTTCCTTTTTCTAAGGAGTTTCCTGACCGTTTTAGTTATCCATGGTGGACTATTATTCGGTCTTCGCGGTACCAGGTATGGTATGAACGGGGACGTAACTAGTCTAAATTTACCTTTAAATACAGACCATGCTTCTTCAACTGATATGCTAGTATCTACTAACCAATCTGTCTTAGCAGCACATTCCTGAATGGCTGATATGTTAGCTTTCCATACATTTGGGCGAGGTGTAACCTGATCGTATAACATGTCCCTAGTTCGAAACGTGAATGACAAAACAGCGTGATCGCTGTTCACTAACGGCGGGAGAATATTTAAGTCGACAATATCCTCAGTCTCATGAGTGATTACCAAATCCAGCAGAGAAGAACCCTGGTTAACACCAAAACGTGTGGGTTGGGATACATGCTGTACTAGTGCATGCTCCATTATTGTTATCAGGAACTTACTATCAAAGGAGTTTATAGATCCTTCTGTGGTCATATCAGTCCAACTAATATCAGGTGCGTTAAAGTCTCCTATTATCAAACATCTGGTATTTTCACTCCAAAGATGAATGTGCTCTAAAACAAAGTCATCAGCTAGGCAGATTGGGCTCCGATAGATGACACCTAGCATAAATGTACTACATCCTATAGCCAACTTACAGCTAATGACTTCACAAGTGCCGCTATCATGGGATTCGCTAGTAGAGGAGCGGATATTTATGCTATTGGCTATGTATAACAGGACGCCGCCTCCTTTCCTACATCTATGTCTATCACTCCTGATGCAATGGTATCCGGATAATTCTGGAGTAATGTCTAAGTCATCGACTAACCAAGTTTCTGTCACTGCTACTATGAGTGGCTTTAACCTGTCCACTAGTGCTTCTAGTTCATAGAACTTATTTCGTAGACTACGAGCGTTGGCATATAAAACTCCTAAGTAGAACAGCCTATCCACACAGGCCTTGGTAGCATTCGCTTCCAAGACCTGACTATCCGAAAACCCACTAGCCGGAGATTTTCCTCGCCGTTTTGCCGACGGGTTTCAAGCTCAGCTAGTGCTTTCTTCCTTTTTATTCTATCTTCGAGAGATATGTCAGGTCTAACTCGGATGTCAGAATTGTCGTGACAACGAGCGCTACTTAACAAGAGATCCCGTTGCTTCTCCGATCCTAGGATTACCTTAAGGAGTCTGCATGGACGGGGTTCAACATTGTCCTCGGTCCTCTTGCCTATTCTTACCAACTTTTTAACCTGAACTCCTTTGGAGTTATCTGGTAAAATACTACGAATGTATTCTCCTAGCTTTTCTAAGTCATGCGCGTGTCTAATTTTCGGATCAGGGTCATTTGACTCCCGCAATTTGCTCACAATAATATTCGATGTTATTAGATTTTTCTTCTCAGTTACGCCAGGATGGGTTTCACTCTTACGATCAGATCTTGGTAGTGCAATTTGTGGCTCACAATTTGAGTCCACCAGTGAGTTACTAACTACCTGTGTACTGCTTACAGCTTTTTTCTTTTCGTTTCGTTTCCTACGTACCGTAGTCCATTTTTCATCCCTCATAACACTGGGACTATTTGGAACGGTGACTGTTTTATCCAGATCTTCGGTTCTCACTAAAGGTGCATTATTAACAATGTCAGTACTAGGTGGTACTACTCCCCCTGTTAATATCAACGAAGATTTCACTTTTACGTCGGTCAGAGTCGGTTGTTTGAGGCGTCGCGTAACAACACTGACACATTCGTCACTGTCAGTGCCCGTGTTGTCGGCGCATATGCCATCATTCTTCTTACAGGCCAAAGCCAATAGGCTCATAGCCTCCTGTATTAGCAATGCCTTGTTGGCACAGCAAAACATGCAAAGCCAATGTGAGTTAGGCTTCGAACATCTTTTATATGCAGTGGGTGCACATTTTGTGGAACCATTTATTGCATTCGTCACACTGCATTCCCTCCTCCACAGGGAACAAACAGTTTGGTTGTCCACATTTGTGGGTACTACCAACCATTTTAGTCTGATCAAGGTGTAACACACAATATGATCACAGTATGAACCACAAGACAAACTCTAGCAAGATGTCAAACCTTAACTAAAGTACTTTGATACAGACCAAGAATGCTTTCGAATGTAATAAATACACAAAAGCCAAAAAAACTCAGTAAAATATCACCTTAACTGGAGTAGATTCAATTAAAGTGTAAATCGTAGTTTTGATACGTAATTTACGGTCAAAACAGTTTAAAAATTTAACGAGAAACAATACCACTGTCCTTTTTAGATAGCTTGAGTACATGTTTGATTCACAAGCGAATGTCAGATAGCAAACTGTGGGCTAATGTCTCTGAAATTGGAGTTAGACAGAAATCGGTCGTGATTTGCATAAAATTATAGAATATAGTCGCCATTATCCATGCTCGTAACTATTAAGTCCAGGACTCGGAGTCAATTAGACTACAAGCTCAGGATCAAGGTCCTTACAATTTACTGAAATGAATCCTTCAAATTCACCGAACCGGCTTAGAGATCGAACATAAAACTTAGTTTTAATCTTCATACACCAGGTAAAGACAGACAAGCATCACTAATATAGACTTGGACAAATGTCAGCTGGCCCAAATAAGCAGAATCTCCCTTTTTTCGTAAAAACAAAGTCGCACGGGAGCGCTTCGGGAAAGAACGAACTCTACTTAACATTAGTCGTACTCAGGAAAAAGTAGATAATGATTTTGCTGAATTACTTAAAATCATCCTTATGACAACCTGGAGACTAGATATACGACAGAAAATAGTGTGACTATGTTACGAATGAAGTGAGATATCCCCCACAAGAGTGAAGGAAACAGCGGTTGCACGTCATGTATTCTATAATGACATTAATGGGAATTACAACCCGTTTATCAAAACACGTACGTGGTTAATA